ACCAATAGACTCCACTGAGAGACTATCAGAACTCATTAAAGAGTTTAGAAAGTGGCAGGATATGAAATTAACATACAAAAATCAATATTTTTTATATACACAGACAATGCCATGGCCGAGAAAGAACTTTTAAGATCAACCCCATTCACAATAGCTACAAAAAATAAATTAGAATAAATTTAACCAAGGATGTCAAAGATCTCTACAATGAAAATTACAAAATGTGAAAAAAGAAATAGAAGACACAAAAAATGGAAAAATATATCATGTTAACTGATCGAAATAATCAATATCATCAAAATGTCCATACTAATGAAAGCAATTTACAGATTCAATCCCAATCAACATACTAAGGACATTCTTCCCAGAGCTAGAAAAAAATGATGCAAAAATTCATATGGAAACACAAAAGACACCGAATATCTTAAGCAATCATATACAACAAAAACAAAGCTGGAGGCATCACAATATTTGATTTCAGGACATATTACAGGGCAGTTATAATCAAAATAGCCTGGCAACTGGCACAAAAACCGACAAGTACATAAATGGAACAGAATAGAAACTCCACAAATCAATCCATACATCTACAACTGTGGTGGAATGAGAAGGCCATGCCAAGATGGCCGCTGGCAAATGAGCATCAGTTACTCAGGAGTGACTTCAGAAACCCCTGGAAAGCCCCCTGGGAAACCACATGGCAACAGAGCCTGCCTGGCAATAGGCTGTGACTGGATGGCTTCGGATACTGCCTGGCAACAGGCTGTGATTGGTTCGGGCATAAACTGCCCCTTGACCGGATTGGCTGCCTTGGCTATTTAAGCTGCTGTACCAACTGAAATAAACGAGTCTGCAGGCTGCTCGCCTCTAGCCGGCTTTCACCTGATCCCAGGGGTCTGTGTGGTGACTCCATGCGTCTTGCCCCCACTGCGCTCCTTCTCTCAGAACGAATCCACCACAACATACAACAAAATTTTCTTTGAAAAAGGAGCTCAAATTAATCCCCGGAGCAAATATAATCTCTTCTGCAAATGGTGCTGGGGAAAGTGGATCTTCACATGCGGAAGTATGAAACTATATTCCTACTTTACACCTTACACACACACACAAAAAATACTCAAAATGGATCAAGAACCTACATCTATAACCTGATACCATCAAATTACTAGAGAACATTGGAGAAACTCTGAAAGACTTTGGTATTGGCAAAGACTTCCTGGAAAAGATCCCAGTAGTATAGGCAGTCAAAGCCAAAATTTGCAAATGGGATTACATCAAGCTGAGAAGTTTTTGTGCTGCAAAAGAAACACTCAGTGAAGTGAAGAGGCAACTGACAGAATGGTGAAATTTGCAAGCTATGCAAACTAATAAAAGATTAATATATAGAATCTATAAAAAGTTCAAGAAACTCAACAACAATAAGACAAACAGTACAGTTAGGAGATGGGCAAAGGAGTTGAACAGACATTTTTTAAGAGGAAATTCAAAAGGTTAACAGTATCATGAAAACATGCTCAGTATCATTAGCCATCAATGAAATGAAAATCAAAATCACAATTAGGTTTCACCTCATTCCATTTAGAATATTTCTCATACAGAAATAAACAAACAACAAATGCTTATGGGGATGTTGGGGAAAAGGTACCCTAATCCACAGTTGGTGGAAATGTAAACTGGAGCAGCCCAGTGGAAGACAATATGGAGATACCTCAGAAATCTGAATTTATACCTACCATATGTCCCAGTTATCCCACTCCTGGGAATTTACTCAAATGAAATGAAATCAGCATATGAAAGAACTATCTAAACCCCCATGTTTACTCCAGCTCAACTCACAACAGCTAAGATATGGAATCAACCCAAATGTCCATCAACTGAAGAGTGGATAATGAAATTATGGTATATATGCATTATGGAATACTGCACAGTGGTAAAAAAAAATCTTGCCATTTGCAACAAAATGGATGCAACTGGATACCATTTTACTTAGTGAAATAGGCAGTCCCAAAAAGACATATACCTCATGTTTTTCCTGATCTGTGGTAACTAATAGAAAACCCAAATTATAATCTATAGGAGTGAAATTAACATTCGAGATTTGATAATTTTACAGCCCTTTGTCTCAACTGTTGAGGAACAGTGTTTTTTTTTTTTTTTCCTTCATACTATTTGTTGAACTCTTTACTTAGTGTAGGGTTTGTCTTATGAGTATAACACTAACTGAAAATGGATCTTTGTAAAAATTAAGAATGAGAAAAGGAGAGGGAGAAGGAAGAAATGTGGGAGGATGGGCAGGAGGAAGGGTGCGGTGGGAAGTATCACTATGTGCCTGAATCTCTGTATATAGGAACTACAGAAATGTATACCTTAAATAACTGGAAAAAAAAGAATATACATGCAGGAATGTGTCAGGGGTTCTGTGAGAATAACTGAATCTGGAGATTTTAGCAACTGAGAAGTCTCTAGACAAAGCTGTCTGTACGCCAAAGACCTTGGAGTAGCAGTGGCATGGCTCGGTCCAAGTCTAAGGAACTCAGAACCTGGAAAGCAGACTGTAACTCTCACTATCAAACCAATAGCCTGAATGCTAGTAAGGGGACAATGATGGAAAAGTCTTTGATTACAAAGGATGGTAACCGATGCACAAAGAAAAAGACAAGTATGTCCCAGTTCTCAGAGCAAAGGACAAATTTGCCTTCTGTGTCTAGTCTCTGCAGATCCTAGCCTATTGACGTTACCTGCCCACATCAAGTCTGGCGCTTCCTATTCAGTCCACTGAGACTTGGGTGCTAATCTTGTCTGCAAACACCTTCACAGATGCACCCTGATTAACCCTTTCCTGGGTTTCTAGGTACTCCTTAATGCATTCACACCTTCCATCACACCATCAAATACTCCCCTGGTCATAGGATGTAAAGTTCAAAATAAGTGTCACACAGTGAAATCCAATATCAGTGAAGCAGGAAAGCTTCTCTCATGAGGCCAGGGAGAAAGGGAACAATGGCTGAAGTGTCAGAAGGACATCACCTATCAAAGAAAATTAGCTCAACTGTATCAGAACAAGATGTGGACAGTGCTACTTAATTCATTACTAAAAAGATAAAGAGAAGTGGTACACAAACTACAAATACAATAGAAAAAATTACTTTTATTAGAAAACATAACCCAAGAAGCACTGACAGACCTCCTGCCAATGTTTTTGCACTATAAAATACCTTAATAAAGAAATTCAATTAAGTTTTGAAAGGTGAGAGGAAATATTATTCCACAAAGATGAGATGATACAACAACAGAATGCAAAGCGAGGGATATGTCAGAGCTAAGAAAATAAATTGAGAACTAAAACACACGATTTCTGATACAATAAACAAATGCAATAGCAGGAATCAGAACAAATATGGCTAAATTCAAATAAAATTAATGTCATGTAAAAGATTTGAGGAAATCAAAATAAACAGAAAGAGGCAGCACAATTAAAACAAATGGAGCTATGATGATAGATATGAAGGATGTATAAGGGAAAATAGCATAAAATAATTTATGTTTCTTACATAAAAACTCCAAACATATAGATAAACATGAAGAATAGAAGAACATTCACAGTTATAATATAGGAAAAAGACTCTGAAATCTAAAAAGAATGGAATCTGAAGATAGAGAGTTGAGCATGCTTTATTTTGACAGTTTGATTTGGATGACTGAGATGCAAATAAATCACAGGTAAAGAAGTTCAAGAAGAAAGATATCTTCTGCTGTTAAACTTTCTTTTAAAAACTATGGTATAAGAAGGCAAAAAATGAGATCAACCTCAAAGTTGCTTAATAATATTGAATGCCAGTAAAAATCAGAGCACCGTGAATAAAACTCCGAGAGATTAAAAAAGGTATCAAATCAAAGTATTTTATTAAATAAAATTTATGAGAGGCCATTGTTTTGGGCTGAGCGTCTGCATTAGGCCCAACAGACCAGACCAGACCAAACCACAATGAGATCACTCATTCTAGCTGACAGGAAATCAAGTTGAACTTAAAAGCAGCTTAGTTTAAAACAATTCACAGCAACCAGTCTAAAGGAGCCCAGTCTGTCTCAGCCAACATGATCTGGATGCCCCCTCTGCTTTTTTCCTAAAAGGAAAGTATTCAAAAATTACTTGATATTAACCAATCACGCTTTTCACTGTGCTGTTGCCTTGTTCCTGCTCTAGCAACCTTAGATAAGCAGATTGTTCTGCCATGCCTGGCAGAGCATCTTCTGACTTGTAGATGGGATCCTGTCTGACTTCTGAATCACTAATAGAAACCACTTAGAGCTTTAAATTCAATTTTGTTGAAATTTTGTTCTCTGACAACATCTACTTGTCATTTAATTATAAAACAGGGGTGAAGGAAGGCACACATTTTAAACACTGACAAGCTTAGGGACTCTACCCCTCATGAGTCCTCGATTAAACAGTGCTCAACAAGCACGTGAGGCTGACTGAAAGTTAATACAGAGTTCAGGAATGGGGAAGTTATGAGAAAGGAAGAATGGGAAACAGGGAACCCATCTACAGGTAGAACTAAGGCCAGAAATCCTGGAATATCATGGTTTACAAAAGAATATAAATATTATGAATCCATTCTAAATTAAAAAAAAAGACAAAAAGGAGATTAATAATAATGTCTCTAAATTATAGCACTGCTCTGAAGTTTGAGCACTTAATTAGGAGAAAATAGGATGATTCTAAACTCAGCTATTTTCATAATTATCCCAAGTTTATGGGTATTTTTAACAACCAATAACCTGTGTAGTGAGTTCATTGTTCAAAGTTTAGCTTTTGTTAAATTTCTTCAAATTATTTCAGATAAATTAAAAAAATAAGATTTAAAGTATATCAACTTTGATACCATAATTATCATAGTAGTGTTATCCCAAAATCATTTGCTACATACACAAGTCCCTTTTTCTGTAATTTTCAGAACTCTGTTTTCATATCAGCTTTGTTTTCAAAGTGGCTTTACCCATGTTCACAAGATGGCAGCTGGCAGCAAACAGAGCTTCATCTGACTGTGTTCAATGTACACTTACTACAGGTATGTCATTTACAACATCCCAGTTTATCCAGGTTCCATGGCACTGACATGACACAAGGCATTTCTTCATTCACATCCTCAAATGAGGGGTTTTTATTTGCTTTCCCATACCTAAAGAGCACAAGTATGAAAGTTCATGTTAGTCTAGGCATCCTTGAATGAAGACATCTAACTAGTGTAACATCTGGGACTCTTTGAGTACTAGGCCACATATTTATCACTGAACCAATTGGTATGTCAAAAGGTATGTGTTAATTTCACACAGTTGTGTCATTACTGTCTCCTGGAGGCATTCTACATAGTGGGAAAGAAGTAAAAATCAATGTTTGGAAGATGATCAGAATTTCACTATAAAGAAATGTCCAAGCTGGCGCCATCGTGGCTCACTTGGCTAATCCTCCTCCTGCGGCGCCGGCACCCTGGGTTCTAGTTCCGGTTAGGGTGCCAGATTCTGTCCCAGTTGCTCCTCTTCCAGTCCAGCTCTCTGTGTGGCCAGGAAGGGCAGCAGAGGATGGCACAGTTGCTTGGGTCCCTGCACCCACATGGGAAACCGGGAGGAAGTACCCAACTCCTGGCTTCAGATGGGCCCAACACCGGCCGTGGTGGCCATTTGAGGGGTGAACCAACAGAAGGAAGACCTTTCTCTCTCTCTCTCTCACTGTATATAACTCTCTCTCTCTGTCTCTCTCTCTCACTGTCTAATTCTGCCTAGCAAAAAATAAAAATGAAAAAAAGAAATGTCCAAGCATTTAGTAATGTATTTTTTCTTTTCTAAACTGAAGTTATATTTTGTAATCCAAATATCTGAAAATTAAAAATACCATAAATTCAGTATATTTCTGAGATTCATAGATGCCTATTGGAACAAAAACATTTGTAAAAAAAATCTAAAAATCAATGAACAGAACAATTTATTACTAAAGACATTGTAAATAAATTTTTTTCTAAAAGTATTAATTCATTGAAAATAATGACCTGAAAAGACTAATAGTTACTGTTTTTTACTTGAAAGGCAGAGAGAGAGAGAGAGAATATCTTCTATTCATAGTTCACTACCCAAATGCCTACAACAGCTGGGGTTTAGTTGAACTGAAGTCAGTAGCCCAGAACTCAGTCTGGGTCTCTCACACGGGTGGCAGGGACCCAATTACTTGAGCCAACCTCTGCTGCCTCCAGGGTGCACATCAGCAGGAAGCTGGGATCGAAAACAGAGTTGGAAATCAAATCCAGTCTCTCTTTGTCACTCCACCTTTCAGAGAGAGAGAGAGAGAGAGAGATTAGATAGATAAATAGTAAAATTAAAATAACTAAATACTTTCAAGTCTCAGTTGCTCTACTTCCAATCCAGCTGCTTGCTACTACACATTGAAAAGCAGCAGAACATGGACCAGGACTTCTGCCACCCACGTGGGAGACTCAAATGGTGCTCCAGACTTCTGGTTTTGATTTGGCTCAACCCTGGCTGTTGTGGTCATTTGGAGAGTAAACTAGTGGATGCCCACTCTCTCTTTCAGCTCTGTATGTGTGTGTGGGTGTGGGTGTGTATCCCTTTCTCTCAGAAAGTCTGCCTTCCAAATAAATAAGCAAATCTTTCTAAAAAAAAGTATTAAAAAGGCATTGTATCATCATATATTGAGAATGATACTTAAAATGTTACTATAAGTTATAAGCGAATATACCTCAAGACAAATGGTCCATATGTCTAGGAACTGATCCTCTCCTCATGACCTAATGATGGGTGACATAATTGTCAGCAGAGTTACTGTCCCCTACTGAGGCTGAGCAATAAGCACCATCCCCAGTGTAGGTTGTGTTTCTCTCCAGGATAAACACTATTCAACCCAAACAACCTAAGTGATTTCTTATCCACTGCACTAAACCCATGGCTTCAGGATTGATGTTTTTAATGATGAGATTTAAAGCATAGTTCAGAGGTATAGTCTTACCCACAATACAACTATATTTTTATGAACAGGAGATATTTTCTAACACAAATACAATATTAGCAAACCTCATGAATAAAGTCTGGCTTAAAAACTATGGGCAGCCTATATGCCAGTCACCTGATAAACAAACACACTCTAGATCTAAAAATAAGGAAAATGTTCAGGAAGTAGAACACATGTCTACAGCAGGATGGAAGGCATGGCTTCTAATTGACAATGAAAAATGTTGAAATGTGGCAGAGCGAATGGTTGAGCAAACCATTCCCTTTGGGAATAGGAAGTTTTCAGAGTTGGACCTATTTGGTGACTCTATATTTCTTCCACTGGAAATCAAGCGATTGATACAATACCATCTGTCTTCCAAAGTTTTTGAGGAGGAAAGTGGATAGGTTGGATGCAAAAAAATCTCAAACCATTACAAGATCTATTCTTTAGTTTAAAACAGGATGATAAAAGTTAAGAAAGCAAAAAAATATTTTAAAATAACTAAACAAAGGCTGTCATCATGGTTCAGCAGACCAATGTGCCTCTTAGGACCCCCACATTGCATATTAGAGTGCCTACTGCAGTCCAGACTGCTCTGCTTCCACTCCAACTTCCTGTTAATGTGCCTGGGAAGGCAGTGGATGATGGCTCAATTACTTAGATCCCTGTCACCCATTTTGGAAACCCAGATGGAATTCTGGGCTCCTAGCCTTGGCCTGAACAAGCCCCAGGTGTGGCAGGCATTTAGAGAGTAGACCAGTGTATTGAAGATCTCCTCTCCCCCTCATCATTATACCTTTAAAATTTATAAAAATAAAATTAACTAAATCAAAGGCACTTTTATTTTCATATATTCAGAATTACATTTAATATGTTCATCCAAAAGTAGTACTGGAAGTTTGTAAATGACTAATCTCAGGAATAGAAATCTTACCCAGGTAAATTTAAAAATGGACATTGCCACCGAGTCAGGGAGCCTGAAAAGAAGAAGCTGTTTTATAAGTGATAAACTGAATCTATTTTAAGACAAATGATCAATATGTCCAGAAACTGATGCTGTCCTCCTGACCTAATAATAGATGATATCATAATTCACAGCAAAGTTACTGTCACCTACCGAGGCGCACCAGTTGCTAAAAGGCATGTATAGTAAGCATCCATCTTCACTGTAAACTGTGATTTTTTTTCCCTGGTTAGGTACTATTCAACATTAAGTATTTCCTTCTGATATGAAATTTAGGGAAATGATTAAACTTTGGTACAATAGTCTATAATTAATTAATTTCTAAGCCTCCATTTGTTTTCCTGTTATCATTTTCAAGGAAAGAGAAATGTCAAAAATGATTTAAAGCAAGGATTAAACTACCTTTTTTATGATTCTGATTGTTAACCTAGATTTATAAGCTTTCAGAGAATCTTCTTCTAGATGTTAAAAGGGGTCATAGAGAAACAGTTTTCAATTTAAACAGATTGAAAGCCAACATCCACTTAAAAACTGGTTAATACTTTTAATGCATTTTTCCATAGATATAGAATAATAAGAATGTGCTTTGATATGCTCTAAAAAGGAAAGGGATGGCAAATTTTACATAAGATATGTTTTGTTTTTTATTTTTCTTATAAAATATACTTTGGATTTATGCCATCATAAATTTTTTAAAGGATTATTTATTAGAAAGTCAGAGTTAGAGAGGGGGAGAGGAGAAAGAGATCTTCATCACTCCCCAAATGCCCACGACAGCCAGGAGCTAACGCCTAGTGCATGGCAGGGGCCTAAGATCCTGGGCCACCTTCCCCTGCTTTCTCAGGCCACTAGCAGGGAACTGGATTGGAAGTCGAGCAGCCAGGATATGCAATGGTGCCCATATGGGATGACAGCATTGCAGGTGGTGGCTTTACTTTCTTTGCCACATGCTGGCCCCTCACCATCAACTTTTGCTACACAAAAACCTTATTTGCACAAAACTTATGCTCAATAAATATTGCTAAACAAATATATATTATACAAAGGGACCCAATTAGTTATATTGAACTATAGCTCCAATTACCTTATTTGCCTTTTATTTAGATTGATAAACATTTTGAAACATATACATATAAATATATATGTGAACAAAGTACTATGATAAGCATCCCTAAAAAGGAAATACAATCTAAAAAAAACCACAAAAATAATGTGACATATAATTCTTCAGAAATAAAATGATTAAAAAGATAAATAATATAATAGTGACTAAACTTAACATGAATTTAAGAGACTTCCAAGTTCAAAATTTTTAACATTGGCTATGGGGTAGAAGTGATTAGATATAGTTTCCACTTTATCACTGTTGATAGCAATATTAAAATACTACTTTTCCTTTAACCAAATGATAAACATCAAAAGTACAGAATTTGAGCAATTATGGTGATTGGAGATGATCCATTGTATTATTTATCCTATGATTATAGTTTGACTTTAACAGGAAAGAGATTTGAGAGTTCAAAGTCAAGATCTAGTGTTACTGCTATCTTTAGTGCCATAATTCAAAAGTGTTTCAGCTTGAGCCTTACCAACTACAGTTATACAAATTGCATCGAATACAGGTATCATCTCAAAACAGTGACTAAAGAAACTCTAGTAACGTGTCTATTAACAAAAGCATGAGCAACATTAAGGAAAACTTGCAAAGAAAGTTAGATATCCCTACTGGGTTGGATGTTTGGCCTAGCATTTAAGACACCTGCATCTCACTTCAGAGTACCCACATTCAAGTCCTTGCTCCAGCTCCCAGTACCAGCATCCAGCCAGTGCAGACCCTGTGAGGCAGTGGTGGAGCCTCAATGATTGGGTCCCGCCACCTATGTAGGAGACGGATCATGTTCTGGACTCCCAGCTTTGACCTGACCCAGCCCCAGCCATTCTGGGCATTTGGGGAGTGAACCAGAAGATGGGATCTCTTCTGTCATTGTCTTGTTGTGTCACTCTGCCTCTTGAATAAATACTATTTTTTTTCTCTTTCTTTTGTAAGAATTAAATGTCTTTACAAATAAGAGTTACTATTTCTTGGCTTGAAGGGATAGAGGAAGGGTGCTGATTCCAGAAGCCAGTGAGACTTGCAGCTATAATAAAGAAACTATTGAGAGGGCTATGCTGTTGTAGGGAGAAATAAGCAGGGGAATAAATACCTTGAACTTTCT